TACCTATATAGCTATCTAATGAGAAAGTCTTATGACTCGTTTAAATACCGCCCGCTCAAATTTTCAACCACCATCTCATTCAATTAACTTTACGATTTGGTAGGTAAGAAATCTTATTGACATTAGAAATTACTAAAATTTAATGAAATGTAAACTTTTCTTAACAAAATTAGTTCGATGCTTCTCTTACCTATTTGCTGATGAAAGTTTCCTTATAAACAGTACCAACGCCAATGAAATACTTATCAATCAATGTATTAATAAGTAGCGCTTCAAAAACGGAACTTATTAAGTTTGCCATTACACTTGCACTTCATCGTTAGAGTTTTTGAAATAGGTTTATGTATGCTGTATAGGAAGGTATATAACAGCTAGTAGGATTGGAGACGAGCTCGCATTTTCTTACATCACAAAATCATCACAAAATAAATGTATCAAATCAAGTTATCCGTTCATTTGAGGAAGCTGTTTGGAAAATGGGTTACCCGAGGGACACAATTATCCACATTTAATATTTGTCAAAAAAAACAGTGAAAACAGAATTTTCTCTTAGTAAATACTTGGAGAAAATTTGAAGGGAAAAAGAAGATTTTCTTGAGAACCCCTCCCATATAAGTTTTCTTACAAAAAATATACCTTTGCATGGTAACCGGGTGCAGTTTGTATTATTTTATAGTGGAAACTGGGAAAGTTTATGCTACATGTAGGGTGTTTATAGACTTCTACATTTCTAAGTTTACAAAACTCAATACTGTCAACTTTGCCTTTTTTTTTATTGTCAAAAACTCTTTTTTTGTTCTGTTACTAAAAAAAAAAAAATTTGATGATACGCTACACTATATACATAAATATATTTTTAACACCCTTCAAGACATCACCTTCATATAGTCACGAGAACTGATTTTTGATATTTTATCAAAACGAAAGAGGAACGTTTGCATAAGGCGGAGTCATGAAAGATATTTACACTTACCCTTAAAAGACTCTTCGACCTATTGCAGGTAGTTAGGCAATCTTTAGTGTTTAGTGATGGAAAACATTTCAGAGTTACTTATGATCGCACTCCCTACATAGCTACTGTGGATGCATACAGAGGTCGTAACAGAAACCCCTTACGAAAAAAGTAAAGTCTTGTATTTTATAGGAGGAATTAGAAGACATATATTAGTAGTTGATGCACGGCATACCGCTTGTGTTTTAAAATACACATTTTTCATTTTCTTACTTAGACTGAGAAATTATTATTTATATCTCAGATAATCGGGTGTAAGAAGAACCATTTTTTTCTCCTTATATATAGAGAAGCATAAGGTATTGCTTAAGTTATATGCGATTCCGCACATCTTCAGTTCGCTTTTAGCTCTTAGTTCGCTGCACGTAAGTTATGGCGAATCATTCCAACTTGTGATAAAAATGATTAAAACACATGCAGATAGCGCAATTTTGTAATACCTACAGTGACATCTAGATGAGCCCTTGCTTACGTACAATACAAGTTCGTGCCGATAAAGATTATTGAAAATCTGTATTTATGTTCTTGATTCAATTGCGAAAGTTTTCACAATATACCCGAAACCTCTCCCCAGCTTTTAAAAAACTTCAACAATCTCTTTTTATATAATTCTTTTACATTCTTCATGTATGCCTAATTCAATTAGAGATTTGTCTGTCGTCGGACTTTTATTGGTATTTGCAAAATCATCGAAGATGAATATTGTCTTGAATAAATGTGAAGACGGATGTAATTCAGCCAAAAGCAGCACAAATATAAGTTGGAGACAGAGAAAAACCTCGAGATATAAAGCCGAGTGCGCCCGTGTTCTTTGATATCAGAAAGTAATCTGTTTTGAATATTGATCGGAAATTTAGATTGATTATATGTTATATTCGAAACAAAGTATTACAACATTCTTCTTACTTATATTATATTAAATCGCTTGACTTAAAGAACATTTGATAGATATACTAAATAACAAAACTGTATAAAAACTTCTTAGCAAAACTAGAAATTTTCTCTCTGTTTTCCTGTTACAATATTCTGCTCTAAATTCGAAACTTCTAATGCGTGTACACATACATATATGCACACAATACATAAATGTTTTTCAAGTACTTTCAACTTCGCCTTTAACGAACGAGAACTGCGTTATCGTATCCATATATTATTATATATGTTTCGACGATTTCGATGCTGTGTAACAAAAATGAAAGCGGTGGCATACAGAATATAGAATTCGAGTAAGAGTTGTAAAGAAAATTTTATTCAATATTATTTCAAAAATTTGCAACGAAAGAAGGGTGAAAACTTTAACCTAGATTTTAGTTTATATATAATATATATACAAATGTATATAAATATTTTATATAGTTGTGTATATACGCGTCAATGTTGACTCTTGCTTGCTGTTGCCTGTCTTTATTCATATTGTGTGTTATGAGAACGCTTTAGAAATGCGTTTATACTTTATGCATCACTAGTATCAAAGAATGGAAACTTTTGTTATAATATTCTTGACAAGAATTCAAATAATGTAAATCAAGCATATGTTTGTGTATTGATCTTATCGATGGTCGATTATAGACGTTTCCTTAATAAGTATTGCGTATAAAACTGTTTGCGATCTTTGACTGGATATGTGTTTAATCAAGAGGAACTTTTCTATTTATTTTCTTCTTCTTCTTTTTCTTTTTATTTATTTTTTTTTTGGATTTTCTAATGGTTTTAAAAGATAAAAGTTTTATTTTAAGCTTCTTACGAAACAAGCGTTCCTTGTGATTTCTTGCGTAAAGTTAAACAATCTTTGAACTTTGTTGCTACCATAGACTGATAACTCTCTTTCTGTGCATATGTTCCAGAAGGGACAATAATCCTGAAGTCACTTTTATAAAGCATTTATACTCATTAAGTCAGCTTAAGAGATAAATCAGATAAAAAATTGTTTTCCATACACAATATAGAGAGTGGCAAAAACCTTTGTCAAGCTGTTGAGAAATTTTCTCAAATCACTTTTTATGTTCATATGGTGTTGGCGGTTAAACGATTCCTTTTTCGTTAAATTAAATTAATAACATTATATCAGTCAATTTATTTATAAACAGATTTAATTATCTTTTGAAAGTAAAACGATTTTCTTTACAAGGACGAATGCGCTTTACATAAATTAGTATAAAAATATAGAAACTTTTTTTTTTTCTTTTTAAATATTGTGTATTTTAACATAAACTATTAATAGGTTATGAAAAATTTCGATGATAAAGTTCTTGTCACGTAGTATTGAGCTGACTAGTAATAATAAAAGTTATCTCGTAAAAGTGCAGTATATGTTTTATCAAATCAACGGAGGACGTAACAAAGTAAAGTAAACAACTAAAATGAACAATAAAAATGAAACGATATTTTAGCGCAAGCTTCTCATTTTATGCGTACTTATAGCCATCGGTGGTGCAAGAGTATATTGAGTTCGGCAACGCGGAAAACGAAATGAATTATAACCGCATTCCGTTATAACAATCGTTTCGCAATCATTTCTGAGTAGCTTCAAGACCGTCTCTCTGTCTGTTCTCTGTCCATTTGCCTTTGAAAGAATTTTTTTGTTCATTCTACGAATCGAAGTTTACGAGATGTTTTGATGAAATTTGTCGCACCACTATCTTTTGACTACATTGCTATGCTTCGATGAACGCTGTTAAAAATGGGTTGAATGGTAACTCGTTTTTATGACCAGCCCTAATAAAATGGCGGATTTTGAAAAAAGACCTTACGCCATAAAAATTTTTCATTTTTAATATTTCTCGAGGAAAAGCAGTGAAAAACAAAAGTCAACATTTTTGTAAATTTGGATTTCCTAAAACCTCATAGACCTTCTTATATATATGAAGAAAGTTATGTAAAAGACGATCTACAGAATGATACTACTTTCTGGAGCTTATAAGGATTCCCACGGAAAGTAAGCCTTTAGGCGCCAAAAAGGATTAAAATTTAGTATTTTTTATAACGAAAGTAATGGTTTAGAGTACTTAGGATGCTAGGTTTCGCCCGGCTTTTTAGCATTTTTTATAACGCAAGTAGTGGTTTAAGGTATTCTATGGCTGGCCTTGCCCGCCTATAAGTTGTTAAGGCAGTTTTACATGAAGTTGACACTTTGTATGTGACTTTTAATGCTTTAATGCTATGGCCATCTATTCTTCATCATTCAGATATACTTGCTTCATGCTTTTACAAAAAAATGGGAAATAGATAGCATTACAAGTCTCAACCCTTTAGATTAATCGATAAAATTAGTCTGTCAAATGCAAGCTCGTATGGGTATTGATCCACGTCAACGATCCTGCAAGAGCGCTTAGAGGTGCTTTAACCTAGTTATTCTGTACTTCTTACACTCTTAAAGGCAAAATATTGCTGCGCCAAGGGTGAGTGGAATTTGCGCAAAAAAGCCTCATTAAAAACACCCAAAATATGATCCGAATACTTATTTTTTGAAAATTCTTAAGTTGACTCCAATAAATAACCGATAGTTGGATATGATATTCTATTGAAATTCGGGTAAAATTCACGTATGAGCAGGCACGATGTTTCCAAAAATTAGAAGGAGTCTGATGATAGGGAGAAGGATGGCCATAAATACAAATTAGGGGTTTGGTCGCCGAACGATCTGAATGATCTGAGTTAAGAACAGTAAGAATATTATATAAGTCGTTGGTCGTATGTTTAAAGCCATCCGATAAACTAAATTTGTAAAACATTTCACTTATGAATATTAAGTAAAAACTAAAAGTAAAGTTCCCTCTGATGTGTGGGATAGTTATGCTCTAGCCTTACTAAGATTTGACTGCAGTAGTAGTTACTGGAAGCAGAGAGAGTATGACGAATTTGAGCTTGGTTTTTCACTTTGCAAATTGGATTAGGTTACTCTCTGTCTCTCTCTTTCTCTCTCTGTCTCTTTCTCTACAAAATCACTTCGTTTATAAACATATTATTCTTAATCTTTGTTTCGGAAGCCTTAACGCTTCTTAATCAAAAAATCAAATATTGACTTAAAATCTGAATTAATAAGTAAAAATATTTTACGTATCGCAAATGTGGAAACTGAGGACTTGCAAGCACTGTTCAAAGCTCTTGTAATATCACACTTAAAATATTATTTTCAGTTTAACTTTTCCTTACGTTTATGTGAAACGAAAAGAAACTTAATTTTTAGTTTTTCTTATTTCATTAAATATATTCACATCCGCTGACTTCTGTTATTATATAACACATATGATGGCTGTTTATAAACATATGGGACCTTGCGTTTATGTACAGATGGAATGCTTTTCGTTTTGTAAATTACCCTCATTTTGTTGGAAAAATGATTCGTTTTTTAAATACTATTTCAAGTACTTACCCAGTTGTTCTTGCTGTTGATGTTGATGTTGCTGCTGTTGCTGTTGATCAGTATGGTGCGTGTATTTTGATTTTTTTACTGTTTTAAAACGCTTTGCGGATTGAGATGGCACCAGCTGCGGTTGTGTTTGTTGTTGTTGAGTATCGTCGACTGTCTTTTCTTCCAGAGGCGCGAGAGTTTGATTTCTGTCACCGCCATTGTCACCAGAGACAGCTGCGGTTAAGCCGGATGATGACGATGACAATGATTCGACGAGACTTGCGCTCTGAAATGTACTATGTTGGTTGCCGGATGTTGTCACAGATTTTATATGCGGTGGTGGAGGCACCGGATATCCTATATAGTCGACGACGTATTGCGCTAGCGGTTCGCCAACTTCATCGCCGCCCGTATTTCCGCAGTCCACACTGAATGCAGATGGTGACCGTTCAATGTAGATTTGACTGCTGGAATGATGTAGATGGCCACCGTCATGTGGTGCTGTGTATTTTATATGCCATAGTGTATCCTGAGTATTGGCAATGCTTGCGCGATTGCCAATCGGTTTCGTATAATTATTTTCAGACATTGAACAATGATGCGCGGACCCTAAAACAAAATAATCGACATCATGTTGACAATATACGTTTATAGAAATATAATTATCGGGTGCAGCATTAAACCAATAGAAAGCTTAATTAAATCGAAATTTTTGTAAGCAAAATATAAACGAGTGCAAGAAAGTTCAAATACTTATTCTCTTTCTACGTAAAAAGTAAAAAAGAAACATTATTTGTGCTTTAGATTCAAGAGATATCGAATAGCTAAAGAAAAAGTGAAAGACGATTCTTTAAAAGGATCGAACAAATATTTCATTAGATGTTAAGATAGTTAGAAAGAAATTGCTGAATAAATATTCGACTTTAGAAATTTCTTTATATATAATTCAAAATGATCTCGGTTTCGCCCTTTTATAGGAAAAATACTTCGACTATGGTGCACAGATTAGATGTAGGTAACTCAAGAGCCAACGGGCAATGGTTTGTTTTTTTTTTCCTCCTAACGTATAGCACGGCGACGGACAGAAGAAGTAGAAAGAAGAAAATAGGCAGTAGCCGCAAAGTGGGCGCCAAATAGGTAAACGTTGACCTTTATCGCCGAAGCACTCACTCGCCTTGCCTACGATCACGTAAATATCGTTATTAAAGTATGGTCTACCGCACTTGATAGTCGTTCTTTTCAACTGCGTGCCTAGATGGTAGCCCCAGGATTATTTGGTATAGAATGGGCAAACGTTGTGAAAGAATGGAATTAAACTGATTATCAGTCAAGTATGAATTTTGTCTTGAAGTAATTGAGAACGAAATTTGCTGCGGGCCTTCAAATGGTGGGACAAATATAAAAAATAAGAAAAATTTCCCATACCCACACATTCCGGAGAATCACGTTTCTTATCTTCTTGGGTGATTGAATTAATTCCTCATGAGCGATTTTCTATTTTATGTTTGTTTAATATATCAAATGAATATCGAACCGGTGACGTGAAAGTGTATTATCTCACTACGTGAATTTTTAACGGTTTTCAAAATTTCTGGTGTCAGATAAGCCGAACAGAAAGTTAGGAAAGTGCTGTCGGTACTCATCAAGAAATCGCTTAGGGCAAACATTTGATCGTTCAAAATAAAAAAAAAATGATTTTGAGAAGAAACAGTGTGTCGTGAATGCCTTGGCTTATATCGTGGTCTTTCACGCTATCAACGTTGCAGTATTGTTTTCATTTTTCAGCGCAATCCATGCTTTTCTTAGAAAATAAATAAAAAGGTAACGCGTCCCGGTTTCGGTATCTGGTAATGCATATAAAAATTAATCAAACATGATAGTTGACGAATTACTATAAATGGGTGACACTATATACAACATTACTGAGCGATGTAGTGGTCAGTGTGAATGTTAAGCAAGACAATTTAACCTTCAATGTCAGATGGTTAAAGTTAGTCGGGCCATTGATGTAACCTTTTTGTGTTCGTGCATGATTCCGGGTAGGCGCTATGTGCACATATGCTTCCATGCTTCGTACGTGCATGGAAATTATCTGATGTTTTGAGCTTCTATTCATTTTTGTCACACATCAGTTTGATTTAATTGTCGAGCGTGGACGCTCGAAAGTGTTTATTTGTGTCATTCCGTTATGAACTTGCATACATGCGCTACATATCTATTTAATTTCTTTATTATGAATGTTAATCTATTTATTCAGGTCCGTTTGTTGAGATTGTATGGCGAATTTAATTCTGTTTTTATAACTATTTTTATTAATTAAAATATATTTTAAAAGGGTAATGAAGCTCATGAGAATTGATGCTAACCGATGATAACACCTTGTTGTACACAACTTAATGGCATTATGGGTTTAGTTGCTTACTATTGTTTTTAACTGGTTATCTGTAAGATACAATTAATTTTTCGATTGCTCTTTGCCTTTCTTATATATTCTCTTCTTTTGCTTTACTGTGTCTAGATGAGATGTGTTATCTCTTGTAAAAATACAAGTTTCGAATTGATTTATTCTAAGCGTAACGCAAATTCCTTCCTAAAAAATCAATGATACTTGGAAATATTTCAAAACTTAAGAAATGTCAGAAAGCTTTTTAAAAGAAAACTGTAACGTGGTTGTTGGCAAAAAGGGGCGAAAAAGAGTGGATTGTCTTAATGGACTGCAGACAAGACAGCAATAACAGCAAATGTTGAGAAGTCTTTTTCACGCCTACATCTAAAGGCAAGTTAAGGAGATGAAGTTGTTCTATCCTCTTTCGCCTTGGCAAGTATTGCCTTAATCGACGGTTAGGATAGAGAGGGAGAGTTAAACAGAAGAAGAATCTGTCACTTTCAGATTGCATAAGTGCAATGTACCTATTTCTTTCATCATTGGGAAAAAGGCGAACTTTTCGAAAGGCGAACAACGAAAGAAATTAAAAAGTTCTTATACTGCCTCGAACCTATTAAATGAGGAGACAGAATTGAAAGTTCGCAATGCAAAAAAACTTTGTAGAAAAGATGTGACACGAAAACTCACAATGGATTAAAAACCTATATGCCGGCGCCTACCTGAAGGGTAATGAGTCATTTGAACTAAGTTTCTTTGTCGCGAAGTAACTGCGAACGAAACGTGGGCTCACCCCAGCACACTGAAATCACGCAGAAAATGAAAAGCATAGGTTTTACGAAGCGCGGCAAAAACGGCAGCGTTGCAAATATCAAAAGGATAGGTTCTAATTTTGGGATGCATAAGTGCGTGGCATAAGTTTCTTTAACTGCATCAAAAAGAGTAAAAAGATAAAGATTTGCGTATTAATTAATATTCCTAAATCGGTCGAATAACAAAATTAAGAAGAGATGGACGCATTGTGACACGAATGTCTGCAAATAATGTTCAAATCAATTTTAGATCTAAATTATAAGTTCTAACATATGATATATTGCAAAGAATCCTTTATTTTAAAATGGTTTCAGGTTTTAACTAAACTTTTGTATGGCTCTAATAGAATTCCGTGACTTGTTGCTTATAGATTTCTTTTCTCAGCTCTATGCATCATGTGTGTAATCCATTTTCATAAAACCAGCATATTAATGCATAAGTTACGTACATTCTCTGACTGTAATCTGTTATTTCGTTTGCTCTACGAACACGTATCTGTACGAGGGGACATAATGGCGTATATATGTAAATTCAAGAATGTTGCCTTCAATAAAGATATGTTTTCTTCAACTGAAGTCACGTCCATTTTGCATGTTATCCATTCACGGCTTATATCAAATTGAATGTAAAAATATATTTTATTATTCCTTTAATGATTTCATTGTTTCTCAACTTTATGTAATTGTCCTTGCATTCATGTACAACATACGAAGCACATATCATGTATATATGTAAGTGCATATGCAAATTTTGCATTGTTGTCCAATTATAACTGGGTTTTACAGCTTGCATTATGCATTCCTCTTAAAGTAAAAGCCGGAAATTACACGAGAATCATACGTGTTCTTGCCATAACTCTTTATGTGCATAACGTTAATAGAGATTTCACTTTCATTTCATCATTACGATTTTATCTATGTTCGTTGTAAATTGAAATTATAATTACAATGTGACATAGTCAGAAGTTGTTGACAGTAAATAGATCGCAATATATATATTTTTAAAAATTAATTATCACTCTGTAGAGGGTGTTAGCTTTTCCCTTTTTTTTTTTTTTATGGAGCGCCTTTCGTTTTATCTTGCTTTGTGGTTCCTAAAAGCCACTTGCAAGATGCTTACGAGCGTCTAGATAAGTAAGCTTTTAAGTTATGTAACGTTTAAAAACTTTAATGTGAATGGGAAAACTCGGGAAGAATTTCAGAAATGATATTTTCGTCGGATTTTGCGTAATAATCGAATTATGATTTCAGCCAAAACGATGTAGAGTTCATACGGAAGAAGCATTTCTAACTTGGCTTCACTTTCGCAAACCATATGATTTCTTTAGTTTGAAAATAAACAGTAACTGTTGGCAATATAAATTTTTATTAACTAAATATAACAAAAACTTGGCATCATTTTCACAACTGTACCGAAGTGACATAATTTTATATATCGACAAAAACATCACCACCGTTATAGTAAACTCTGGGCATGTATACGATCCTGTTGCTGCAGCTTGCAATTATGGTTACTGTTGAAAGAGCCGCGCTTCGTCGAATCGACATATTTCTTTTGTAGTTGATTAGACTCGTAGCCAGCATAGGTTTGACAGATGCTATGATGATGATTCTGGTCGAGAGTATACAAAATTGTTTTGGGAGACCAAAAAGTTAAATGGCATGAGGTAGTTAACATCTTAAATATACCAGAAGACAGTACCTTTATTACTTTGCATGAACATTTTTCCATAAGGAAGGTCTGTTCAAAGTGAGTGTCGCGTTTACTCTCTTTGATAACAACGTTTTGGAGCCGTTTAGGCGAAATAAAAGGAATTTTTCGTGCGTAACAATGGATGAAACATTGAAACGTCACTGCATTGCAGCGGCAACTCCGCATTCACGCGAGCGAACAGCAAACGTCGAAAGTCGTCCAAAGTGTGCAAAAAAGCAAAAATCATGTGGAAAGGCAAACGATATAATATCCGTTGACAATCTTGAAAAGGATCGAACATAGTGAACATAAAGTTAGACCGGAAATTTATTGAGTATATAAGGTAATCAAATATAAAATCTATAGATTATTATTATACTTTTAAAATTGAGTTTTGCATTGAAAAATGCTTTTTCATTTTCGTTTATTTAACTTAAAACAAGTATGTTTTTACGATATAAATAATTGCATTAAAATATAATCTTAAGTTTAGTATAAAGAATATTAAAAATTGTTTTATGTTAAGGTGCAGTAGAAGAAGAAAGTTGTGCATTAACATTTAGCGAAGTGCAAAAAGCTTTTCATCATCGTATACTTATCTGATGTTGTATATAAGCAATCGAGGATGCGCTTCACAACAAGTGCAAAGTAATTCAAATTACCTGTAAGTTTTACACTGGGCTTCTCAAGTATATCGACAAATTCTAAGGGCGATTCTAATAGAGATGATGTTGTTGTTTGCGCCATTATTAATTTCTTTAAAGATTTTCTCAGTTGCTTATCGTTTCTAATGTTATCGATATTACTATCATTTGCGGAACTTGTAACGTGACCAAGATCAATGGACTTGTTGCTAACATCGTTTTTGTTAATATTGTTGGGCGAGGATGCGGTAGTGGTGGGTTTGTTCTTCTTTTGTCGGCTGAGAGTTGAATTGAATGGTCCTACATTAAGATGAATAAAAATTGAAAGCCGAAATATGTATTAAAATAAATACTTAGCGGCTGTAAAAACTCTCTCTCTATTTATTTCCCTTGAAAATGCAATATGACAAAAAAATATATCAGAACTTGTCTATATTTGCTTAATCCGTGCTAGTAAAGGTAATTAGTTTTTGAGGAACTTCTAATAGCCGTGAATATTTATCGCGCTTTTCCTCAAGTCCCTTTTTTTTAATTTTTGTAATCGATAAAACGAAAGAAGGATTAATTTTTCATGAGCTTTATGTGGTCAATGAAAAATTGATGGAAATACTTGAAAGGAAGTAATCATTTGCTTCTAGACTCTTCGTTCGTTTGTTTCGTTCCTGTTTTACTTCAAAGTAATCCAACGAAGAAATTATCCGCAGCACGCGTTTGAAAAATCGTAAATTAAGCTTTCTTAAGGTAGTTTGGATTGATAGTATGAGGTTTGAGTTCAAGCAGGCCATTTTAGTTTCACTTCAATGGAACTAAGTATGCTCGAAAGGAAGCCACAAGTTAATGCGTACAAATTCTATCTAACCTTTTACTCTTCGACTACGGCAACGAGTGAAATTTATTTGTTCTTAAAACAAAAAAGAATTTTTTGTTATCAAGGAAAGGAAGCTCAAGTCTGTCCCAAATAACGTGTATTAAAAAGAGTTTCTTTGACTGAGTTAGATGCTAGGATAAATAGATAAGACGTCCAAAGGAGTATATCTTCAAGAAATCTTTAAAGTTCATTAAAATGTTTTCATTGATAGATTATAGAGGATGATTATATGGATTATGTGCCTCGAAATGAAATATGGTGGCTGGTAAAAGTTTAATGTAAAGAGAATATTTTATAAAGTTTTATAATAATTCTTACAACTCATTAACTCTATAGTAGCCGTTGAATGCTTGCAGAGTCCATTTTTCCTCGATGTAGAAATAGTTCCTTATTTTTTCTAATGAGAAAAGCTCAAAAATACCATTTGTTTGGTCAGAAATAAGTGGGAAAAGAGAAGGTGGTGGCTGCAGCCTTGTGGGTAAGTGTTAAGCCATTATCGACTGAGCCCTCACTATAGTTGCTTGACATTCGAACACACAAGCACTGACTTGATAGTTATTCACGAATCGTAACTAGTCAGGAGCTCATGCTAAAAGGTATTTTATTCAATGTGCTAATCATCGCTAACCATTACTTCTTCAAAAAGTTAATAGGAATTCTATAAGAATTATATAAGAATTCTATATAGGAAAAAACATTTTGAGGAGTAATTTTGTAGCTGTTTTCATAAGAACAGAAGCCCAATTAATCCTAGCCCGGCCACGTCTTTCTATAATGAATCATGCAACTAAGTGCTTTTCAGGCACTTATGAGAATCATGTGAACAATTAATGTGTTTTGCTTTGGTTTACAGTTTAAATTTAATTATTTATGCAAACAAGCTATATAACACAAACTTAAAATACTATACACAAGCTAATTGTTTTTTGGAAATGCGATAAAAAATAAACAAATTTTAAATGAGCCTCAAAGGCTTATCGTGGTCATGGATTAAGGTTAAACAGATGATAAATTCATGATTGAAACCAATGTTAATCAGAAAGTTTTGGTGAGTACACCAAGGAAGCTAGCAATAAATAGCGTAAATTTACGACATTAAGTTAAGAAATTATCACATCAAGTCTTCTGATACATTGTGCTCCTTTTTCGTTTCAATTGTATCAATTATTGCGGGTAGCGTTTTGTAGCGATGACTTCGTTCGATTAGAGCAGCTCATAATCGACTTCGCTAAGCGCACCGTCCAAAATGAAAGGACAATGGACACAACATCTTTACCACCCGTCAAGATTAAATAACATTTCCCTTAAACATTATTTAAGAAAACTCACGTTCCCGACGTTGTCTGGCATAGAAATCGATTTATTCCAGTAAAATTCGTAAACATACATCAGCGAAATAACTAATGATGCGTAGAAAAGTCTAAGTCCTGTCATTGCTCACAAATACAGTTCCTGTGCGTTATAAGGATGAGAAAGTGCTTTTTGATAAGAACACTATTATATATATCGTATACGTTTTGGTATGTTAAGCGAAGTGGGATCGGGGTGGGGTATTCAAAGTTCGGCCGTGGTCAACTGTGTAAATCTGTAAAAAAGAGTTTTACAATCATTTCAAAAACTCCTTTGTTAAGATTTTCATTGAATAATGGCCTTGAGAATAAATGCCACCTAGGGAGAATTTTTAAAAATCATTTTTTCTTTTTTTACGTCTGCATTTGAACTAATTAAAGTTTGAGTCTATCAAAATATTTAATGGAACATCTTTGATACACTTTACGGGAGTTGAACTTTTTTAAAGCTGTGATCCGCTTAGTGTTTATATTGAGAGCTTTCTCTCTTTCAGGTAACGCATATATGAAATAGAAAAAATAGAAAAGAATATTAAAAAGAGCATTTTCTCTCTATTTTCTTTTACTTATTTCCACAGTACTTATTATGTAATTCATTGCACTAATAACTTTTTCTCTCAGTTCATTTATTCAGGTAAACCTGTTTTTATTGTTGATTGTTATTGTATGAATTATTGTGGTCGCTATTGTTTTTCCGGCTACCATGCACATGCTCTTGTCATCGAAGCTGACTTAAGTGCTTGTCCGTCTCTACCGTGATGTATACACGTTTTGTCCGCATTGTTTTCTGTCAACATAATTATTCTGTTGTTAATGATGCTGTTTTTATTATTTTACTATTTAAAGGTCAACACGGTACTACTTTATACAATAAGGAAAATCAGAAAAATCATTTAATGGAACAATTGATGCAATATTACATTTGTATAAGAAAAATCATTATTATTAATTGACCTGAGCTTTTCAAAATGTTTTGCTTCATTGAAATAAATTTTAAATCTATACTCTTTTGGGAATTGAATTGTTTCTCGATTGCAGTAAGGATTTATTTTTCAATGGAAATGTAAACATGAAGTTGAGGTTCTTTTTCAGTTGATTAAAAACTTGAATTTATAAATTGTCCTCCTCAAAACTTTTGAAGAAATAAGGACAATTATTATATAACCTATTTTAGGATGAAATTAAATGAAAAGAAAAATTCATTTCTCTTCGGTAAGTTATACGATATCGAAATTACGATATTTGAAATCGCAATCTGGCAGCATTTCCTAAGTGATTGCACCAATTTAAAAATCCTTATTTACCAAACATTATCTATCTTTTCTTATGTATTTCCCTTCGGGTAGGTGTGGTTGTCTCTTCGCGTCGATTTGCTTTTTCGGTTTTTTAAAGAAAAAAACGAAGACCTGTTTTAATATTTATTTGGAGATTGAGATAAAAAGAAGAAAAAGAAAAGAAAAACCTGTAGTCGTTTCGTCGCTTATAGGCGCCCTTATACCCCGACCAATTGATGTTTGAATTTGAGCTTTGACTCGAGATCGCAAGATATTTCATATTCTTCCGTTGTATGGAAAAAACATTTCCAGCCTATAAAGGGCAGACATGAGAAGTAAAGCGATAACTACTTACTTTCTCTAACACACTATAAAATTAAATTGGAATAAAAGACAGAACAGTTTAGATTTCTTGTAAGTTTCGGTCATATCCCGAGCTAAGCTTTGGCCAAGCTCCTTCTTTCCAAATTTGGTGTAAATCGGTATATATATATTTCGTCAGCGAAAAAAAAAATAGTGGATTGCACTAATTTTTTTGTTTAGCAAATGCCGTCGGCTATTACCTACTCTTATCTGCTTTGATAAAACTAGAGCTAAGATCAAGATCTAAAGTGTCATTTGTGCCTATCAGTTGCTTACTAGTGAAACCTTCACAATGACGAAAATCGACATAGTAAGCATATATGCTAGAAATTCATTTCATAGAGTTGGATTTGAAGTGGTTCTAAAACCTCCAAAAAGACTCAGTTCAAAATTATGTTACATTCTTTCTTTAGAGTCGCATTTTGAAATGTTTGCACGGGGCAATTAATTACAGAAACAGAAAATTCAGAAAGTAGTATCGGCACAAATTACTGGTCAAAATATATTAACTTCCCAATTCCCAACAACTTTGTCATCCGAGAAAGTGGGGATCTATAATTTGTAAACAAGATTTTACGGACCGACATAAGACTTGCAGACGGACGCTTATCTTCAAATCGGTTCAAAAAGGATTCTGAATCTATTATAATTGTCTGTATTTAGATGACAGTACTTTAATTGCCAACGAACCCATATGATTGATTAAGAGAACAATGGAAATAATATTCCAAAGTTCTTTAAAATTAATGTGTTTTTGATATTTTATGCTTTAACTGCTTTGACATTTTAAAGACTTCCTATCATGAATTTCTTAACATTTATTACTTTCACGAATTTATATCTTTATTGTTATTAGTACCATTATTATTATTTTTTGCTATAAACATGATTTTACTTTTATCATCGGTCCATTTGGTCTTTGTTCCTTTAATTAAATGTATTTTTTTTTCATACAAATACATGCGCCAAGCGAAGGAAAGGCGAAAATATCGTATGATGTACATGTACTATGCGTTACGTTAAATTAGAGCGAATGGTTTTATGATTTTATCCTCCTTCTTACTTTCGTCTACTTGTACGTATGCATTTCGAATGAATTTGTTCATTTAAAGTGGATGTGCAGTTTGATTGTAGTGTAATTAACCAACGAGAATTTGTTGATGTTTGTGTATTTGGGAGACGGGTATATTTGTTACAATTGCTTATACTTACACTCTGTACCGCCGGACAATGCATGATGAGCAGAGGATGGCACTACTTGATAGCTTTCTCCTTCCGTACCGATTGCATTTGTCATATGACAGCCGTAACCATTTTGTGCGCCATACAGCGAGCTCGCTGTTGATTTGGAAGGCAGTGATGATGATTGCATTTGCTGTTCTTGTTGCTGGTAAGAGTGCTGGTGGTGGTGATGATGATGATGGAGTAGGTCTTCTGCATCCTGGACGGCAGTGAGCGTCAATTCCATGGCATGTGCTTCGAGACTTTTACTGTCAATACTGCCGGTTGGATAGTAGGGAGGCGGTGGTTGGTTGGCAGTTGTTTGGGCCACTATTGATGGGCGACCAGAATCTAGGTCATATTCTTTAACAGTGGCTGCATTGGAATTTTTTGCAGCGTTTGAACGCCGACATCGACACAATACTATCGAGAAACCGGTGAATAGCAGAAAAGCTATAGATGCTATAACAATCGCAACGACGACAGATGTTGTAAAACTTGACGTTTCCATAAGATACGATTTACCAACTGAAAGCAAAATACAAAATATATATATGTGTGTGCGTGCAAGGTTGACTGCTGTAAAAGTGAACGTTATTGCAAAACATCGAGATTACATGACATACTAATGGTTTATGAGCTTGGCGAGACCAAAGTTTGAAAATTACACTTGTGTGATCGTCATTTACGAGGACATGTTTTAAATCTGCGGAGAATTGGTTGAATAATAAGGAAAGATAAGACAGCCGGACATATGAAACAATTTCAGTTCTGTGTGCAGTAATTATCAATAATCCCAGTAGTTGTGTGCTTGTCATTATCCAAATCGGCAGTGACATGTAGCTGCATTCATATGCATTTGGAATCATGTAAATGTAAATGGTAACGCAATATGTTTGCGATTTGTTGTACTTACCTTCAGCATTTGCGTATTCGCCGCAGTGGTCGTGATTAGAACGCAAACATAACTTTACACGTACTGCTGGCCCCTGATTATTTTCAGCCAATGCAAGTGTAATATCTTCGGCGTGACCTAGCGGTCGTCCCGATGTACTGTAATGTGTTCTCTGAGCAATGTGATTGATTGTAGTTTCTTTAAGTGTGGCTTCAGAGCCGGATGCCTGCATAGCGATTGTATCAACAACTTCCCATGCTGCTATTGACGACTCACGATTTACCAATGATTCGACAATAGCAATAAGCGAAAGGCAAGTAGCTGCTACATTAATACCAACAATATGTGAGTTGGGATCATATGTCACGTGTAAGGGTGGTGGAATTTTGCTGACCTTGGTTGTAGCCATAACTTCGTTTGAATAGCCGGAACTACCTTTACCATTGAGTGCATAAATCTTGAAAACATAGCTTTGATGCTGATCGAGTGGTGAAACCTTGCATGGATTATCACGGAAACAATCAAACTCCAGCCATTCGGGAGAACTTAATCCACTGCTTGATGATGCATATGTTTGTACTGATATAGCGCAGTCTGAAAGTAATTGGTCCCGTGGTGTTGCCACTCGGCGATATGTGGCTAAAAATTTAGTGCTTAACATTCCACCGTTAAAACCAGGTAACCAGCTCAGTATAACGAAATTGTGAGCTGTCTCTAAAACTTTAAGTGCGGTGGGACGCTCTGGCGGGCCTTTTGGCTGCAATCGGATTTGTGTACGAATTGCGTCAAGTGGATTGACAGCACGACACGTGTAATCACCATAATCTGAGTGAGAGAGATGATTTATTCGTAGTATCGATGTGTAGATGTCATTGTTATCAACTCGTGTACTGATTTCGTAATGGCCGTCTGAGGACATTGTCAAAGGAGAAGGATTGTTACCGAATTGCCATTGGAATTCCGGTTTCGGATAGGCCTGAACTTTGCACATAACTTCGGCCGATTCTCGCACATCATAAGCAACCTTATTGTATTGATGAAGAACGATGGGTTCATGTTCAATACGTAAGTGCATGCTGGAGTTGGCGGAATTTACTTCGTTCTCGTATAGACAAGTATATAAGCCTCGATCAGCAGGAACTAATTGATTACCATTCGGACGTCCTTTACCCCGGAATTTTAAAATGCTTTGCACTGTGACAATGCCGTTGGACGTTTCGGTGGGTATGGTACGTATTTCGTACATTTTTCGCCCAGGCAGAATTTCTGTTCCATCTTTAATCCATCGTATAATAGGGGATGGTTTGGCTTTGGCGCTGCATGTAACCACATAATCAACATCTCCTACCCGTCTAGTAATATGCTGCTGCAGCTTGGCTAAAAATTGGGGCGGCTGATGCACTTCTAAAGTTATGGTAGCCATTTTGCCCATACCAAGTTCATTCACGGCATGACAATGATATTTGCCTTCGCTGCCTAAATGGGCTTTCGGTATAGAATATTGGGGACCTTGGGCCAAAATTTTTTGCGTATTGCTCAAGTCGTTATTCATATCGCGAAACCAACGATATTGGGGCACAGGCCAACCTGGTGGACTCGCCGAACAGCTAAGGGTAACGCCGTTGCCGACGTGCACCACGGGTTTGTTCGGCGTAATATATGCTTGTCCGGGACGGTGCCTTACTAAAAGAGCAACAGTAGAATTGCCAACTCCTTCAACACGCTTAGAACCAAATGGTTGCATGTGATTCGTAGCACGACATATGTAGTTTCCAGCATGTTCTGCCCGCACAGAAACTAAAGTCAATAATTCTCCCATATAACGAAAATCAGGTGCCCCTTCCTTTAACCATTCAATCGTTACGGCTGGAGGATTTGATGTTACGTTGCAACGTACAATGACAGTTTCACCTTCTTCTGCTTCATGGGTTTTGGTCTCTATTACTACGATGGGTGGATAAAGGACATCCAGTAGAATGTCTTTTTCACCAGATTTTCCTAAACCGTTATCCGCTGTACAAGTGTACTTGCCGGCATGATGACGATTTACTCGGTATATGGTATGAATGGGCGTCGTGCTTACGTACTGTCCATTGCGAGTCCATCGAACACTCGAAACCATAGGCTTAGCATCAACACGGCAATCTAATTTGGCTACATGATCACGTTCAATACGTAAAGGATTTTGTGGGCCTACTTCTACGCGAGGATAATCTGAAAAATAAATTGTTCAACGATAAATTTTGTTAAATAAACTTTCTCTATTATTTTGAACACGTATTTATGCACACATTTGTACAAAACTGAAGCTAGTTAATTGGATCTGAAAAAGAATTTAAAAAAAGAACTAATTTGTGGCTGTACAACCACATATGTGTGGCCAATTGAAGTCATTGTCTTTAGGGATATATTCTGCACAGTTATGTAGCATAAAATATTGTTCTCAGCTAATATGACATTAAATCGGCCAAACTGTGAAAATGGCCAAAGGCTGATGGAAGGAAAGCAAACACAACTTGTTTGACTATCCGGTTCACTAGCTAACTAATCCACTGCCATCATATATAGCTTTAGGTTGTTATTATTATTATTACTGTTTCCTTAGTTGTTGTTATTGCCAGTGATCCGTGACGTTAGACATTTCCTGTTCAATGACCATACATGCTTTAGCTTATCGAAAGAGTTGCTGCTAGCGCTAGCTTTGTGCGGTAAATTAGCCTTATGCATTATTGGGTTTTCTCTCGAGAGTTCGTAACAGTTCGCAGTACAAAGATTCAAAACATTATTAATATTTTAATAACTAACGTTGCGCATGGACACGATAGGTGCAACAATAAGGTCTACACTAGTTAATTTGAATTAATTGAGCGCGCGCTTAAAGAGAAAGTTTAATAAGTACGAAAGTTTCCTCGCCCAAAGCGCGAATGTAATTGCGGTTTACAGCGACTGTCAACTAAGTTAACATGCTTTGCTATAATTTAGTTTTAACGGCAGATTGGCGAATTTGGATTTATTTGCTGAAACAATATTGTACAAGCAATGCGAAAGCATTCAAAAGCACAGGTATTTGCCTGACTGAGGTTTGGCCGTCACAGACTTGTTGTAAATTCATGTTCTACACATGGCACCTTTAATACTAGATGTATATGCATTTTGATTGATTTAAATAGTAAGTAACCTTATGCTAAAAGCAATAATGTGTGTGAGTTTGTGATTTAATCAAAGCTTATTTTTGGTAAACTTCAAATTGTTTTCATTATACTTATGCAACTTCGAAAATATTAATAAACGCATCAGACTCGTTTAGTGTGTAGTGATATTTATATATTAAGTGATATATTGCGTTGTGTGTGGAGACGGGGAAAACCAATATATAACAATATAAACGTTCCGTTTAAATTAAATTTCAACAGAACCGTGTGGAGTGACGCGTGATTTTTTATGAGATTTTTTCTTTATGTTTCCTTTATAGAACGTGTTACCCTCACGTGCACAAATGCAGTTTATGCCCTTATTTATGTTACAGGTAAATAACAATGATGCTCGAATGCTACAACATGCACAAATACCTGTTTATACACTGAGAGAAAAAGTAAGGCCGTAAGGTTCTGGTAAGACAAAGTCGCTCACTATCACCAACCGCCCTCTTTCGTCATAAAAAAAAAAGAAAGGAAACAATGCAGGCTTATGAACATAAACAGGATTTTACATAACACTTTCAAATGCTGTTCGTACCAGGTATAAAAGATTTTTTTATCTATTAAGTCGCTCCTATCGTTGAGTTTCATTATGTGATGAAAATAATGTTTAGTGACCAAGTATTTAAGTTACGTTTGTAATTGTGGTTTCGCTGCGATACGATTCTCAAGTCGACGCAATTTTGTACATAGAACTTGTTTGCCTACCATCATAAACCAATTTTCAAGTGAAAAATTCTAGTCATCATTGGCATTCTCGTATATTGACCCGTTGAACTGCATTATGCAGTATTTTTGTTCAGGCGAATTTCTTTCTGATGGTGCTCAAGTAGACCCTTCTTTGAACGACTATTAGTTTCCATGAACCCGCGAAATTTTCCATCAATGATATACTTCTTTTAGAAGCCTTGCGCTCAGTGTTTCGCTTCGGCAAATTGAAAAAAAAAGAAGAAAATTGGGAGAACTGCTTCGACATAAGCTTAAGAGAACCAGATCAAATTCAAATCGCTTTCTCTCTCGTAAGCTTGGTAATCCGTGGGTAGAAATCTCATGTATATTCTTGTAATTATGAAAAGAAATAGATGAGAAAGGGCTCAAGTTGCATTCTGAAGAATATGCAATGTTCTCATTAGCCTGAAGTCGTTGATATATGTCAATCCAGTATGCAGTTACTTCTAGTTTTACAAATTAGTTACTATTATATCTTTGAAGCGAAGTTACGTTTACAATGTTATCGAGCATATCGTTCACTTTTGTATACGTTTCCACGTTAATCTCTTTTGTGTTGCATTGTATTGCAAATGTATATTTCAAGTATTGGTTTACACTGTAAACGACTGCTTGTGCGTGCAATAACGCTTGCATAAGGTTCAATTTCATAAATTTATTTACCATTTTAATAGAAAAGATGTAAGAAAGGAAATGGAAGCAACAATGTTTGCATTAAATGAATGTTTTCGTATAACCATGATTCGTACATGCAAGCGTGTCATACTCACGTGCAGATTTCATAGCGAATGAGATTGATTCACAACATATTTTATAGTGTTTTATATCTACTATAAGGAGGAAGATGTTAGATTTGTGAGACATTCATATATGTGTCAATCGTTGAAGAAATTATGCATATATGTATATAATGTACCCATTCCGGATCGATGGATGGATAATAGAATCGAATGGACATTTCTGGTTTTTAGTCTTAAGACTTGAATACTCAGAAATGCTGTACAAATGCTTGTAGTGGAAGGGCCGATGTTGATATTACCCCAAAATTCGATTTTCCAACAAAGTTGTCAAATCATGTCTTTCAATCTTACCGCACCACCGACACCTTTGTCTTAGGATGATCGTAAGATTTTTTCGAGGGAGTGATTTTTTGAAAAAAACTCTTAAATCGACGCAATTTTGCGACGAAATTCCACAGAGCTCAAGGGATTTTCAGTCGTAATTTCGTCTATTTACGGGTAACGAAGAAACGAAATTTTTTAAAAAAGGAAAATCATAATCTTTGGAAAATTGTCAGGTGTTCATTTATTTATAGAAAATGTGAAAAAAAATGTTATTTGTTAAACCTTTTTCCATTTTTGATGCTTAAAAGAGGATATTACCTCCTAAGTGTGGTTGCAAATTCTTCTCTAATAAAACTTTCACGTCATGTTGAAAAATCAGTCAAACTGGGCGCAGTTGCTAAGAAATGTTTGTTAAAAAATTAAAAGGCTTTTTGTAACATACGATGTTAGTAATACGCAATGTACGATGTGAATCAATTTGTCGCGCTATCAATACACAGGCTAATGGCGGTCATAAAAAACTCGTTTCCATTCGTGCAGGATTTGTCTCTTGTTTTTATTTGAATGGAGCGTTTGAAACCAATTTTGTACGATTTTTTTTTTTTTTTAAGGGACACTTAGTCGAAAGAGGAGAAGTAAAGTTATGAACAGTTTACCGCAGTGCTGCAATAGCATTTTGTTCTCATTTACTCTTTGATATTTTGACCCGTTGGGGGCAACACCGCGTCACCATGAAACAGTGGCCAGTTCAATAATCTTTGCGCAATGTTCAAATTTTTTGAAAAAAATTGGCCTTTGATTACGTCAAGCTTACTTGTGCTAATGCGGTCGTTATAATTTTCTCCAAGTTTTTTGCAGAGACAAGTTAAGGAGTGAATATGGCAACTGTAAGCGAGGTTACTAATCATGACACCAATTTATCGATTGCCCATAGTTTCCAAGAATTGAGCAACACTACGACGTTGGTTACAAAAGGAATAACTTTATGGCTACGATATGCCGGGGTTTTAAAAGCAGAAACAACTTGTTTGCTAGTGAAGCAAGTTTTTGGAAATGACTTGCGTTTAAAAAGCTCTTTGACAAAGGATCTCACATAATGAAAGTACTTTCGAGTGTTTTTGACATCAAGTAAATCTTCCGTTTTGTGCAATTCGAGAGGCTTAAAATAAGTTGAGAACTGATTGTTGAGGAAGATATCAGTTTGAAAGTCTAACCGCTGAACTACTCTAACGCACAACGCTGATGCTTCTTTGTTGATTTCTCTTCAGGTATACGTAATTTTTCGACAGGCTTTACTTCTCTTGATATGCAACATTTATCTTCATGGATACCTAAATGCATATGTATTTATATATATATGTACAAACTTGAATAATCCGAGCATTGTAAGCTTATGTAAAAAACTTTTTAAAATGATTTCATAACGGGTCATACTTTCTCCCTTATCAGTAGATGGACGTGCTCTCGCCTACAACAACACATTCTCTATTAGCAAAAGTCGTTATTAAGCGTAAAAAAGACGACATATTTCATATGAAAGCAAAATTAATTTATAAAATATTGATTTTTAAGGTTTCTACAGAGACTTGGAATTCTGTTGTTTTTGGAAGTTCGAAGGGAACCATATGATTTTTTAAAAGATAATAAAAGATTCTGCGGAAACCATCAAAAGATTACGTGCGAGTTGATGACTAAAGAAAAACTTTTAACTTTAAATATTTATTACTTTTCAATAACATTTTCTTGTTTTTTTTTTTTTTTTTATATCAATTAAAGTTTTAAGTGTTGTGTGGTAAGTGCTTTTAATCGAAACAGAATTTCCCGTATGACGCTTTTGCTGTCCTAGAACTTTAGTTTATATTTTACAAATATCTTCATTAAGAAAAAGATTTTGGAAAAACAAGAAATGCCCACAGTGACAATTGTCAAATTTTACAATGTCTATGAAAAACTTAAAATTAGTTTTCACATCGGTCAACACAATCACAGCCAAAGATCATCACCCATTAAAAGTGTTGAATAATATAAATAAATAAAAATGAGAATAAAGTTTTTAAAATATCTTTGCTATTTTATTGAATTTCATTATAAAATAATTGTGTAACTCTTTAGTTGAAAAATAAAACTCAGAAAATAAAGATTTATTTAAAAAAATGACAACTGAAAACAGTATAGTGGAACGCGGCCCAACATTAGCTATCTTACAACACTTCGTTTAACACAG